GCAAGTGAAATTGATGAGGTCATATCATAAGGGTCTTCTAGTTAATGGAATGTAAGCAGCTATGGTAGCACAGTGGTTATGAATCAGGCTGCGAACTGCAAGGTCAGCAGTTCGAAACTACCAGCTGTTCCGTGGGTCTGCTCCCGTAAAGATTTACAGCCTTGGAAACCCTGTGCAGGGTCCATATGAGTCGAAACCGACTACATGGCACATAACCACCACCACCAGTCAATGGAATGCAGACTTCATCTTGGGTTTAATATGTCACAATCAGATTTGCATTAAAAAAAAAATTATTCTGACCTTAAGTGAAAGTTGGATTGGAGGAAAGCAAGAGTGGGTGTGGGAAGACCAACTTGGAGATGGATGCAGTAGTCCAGATAAAGTAGAGGGTAGCTGAACTAGGGTACCAACTATGCAAGTAGAAAGGGGTGATTGGATTTAACAGCTGTTTAGCAGGTAGGTGAGCAGGCCTTGGTGACAGATTCGATATGCAGGTAGATGTCTTGTTTTTTTCATGATGGAGTTGCTTATGCCAGACTAACCCTCCGGCCAATGACAACTTTAAAAACTGTAATTACAAAGCTATAAATGATAAACACCATTTGAAGTTGCTGGCGAGCCGCAGGTGCAGGCAGGAACTTGAGACACCACCATCTTTTAAATTAGGGCAGCATGAACGTTGAGTTCCACAGTCAACCTGGTTTTTTCCCAAAATGCACTTTCTAACCCGCTGCAGTGGGAGGGAAACGAAGTGCCAACGGAACGACAGTCACTGGATTAGACAGACGTTGGAGTTTGGGGCTGCCAGAGTGTCTGGAAATGGAGAAGTAAAATCCTAGAATGGATGGGACCCACAGAGAAAAGAGACCCCCAAATCTTCATACAGATTTCCCCTGAGTCATTGGCAAGTTGGACATGCATAGGATGAGATTCCAGGAAACTCAGTGGAAATTAGCTAAGAAGCTACAGAACTGAACAAGGGTTCCAGCAGACATGTGATGCCGGAAAGACAGGTTGCCAAATTGGAGAGACCTTGGTAACCACCTCAGGCTTCTCTCTAAGAACACACCCTATAATTAAGGGCCACACTGAGAGACCAGCCCTAAAAAAAACCTTATGTTGTTATGTCCCATTGAGTTTATTTCAACTCATACTAACCCCGTAGGGTTTTCTTAGTTATAATATTTACAGGACCAGATCACCAGATCTTTCTCCCACAGAGCCACAGGGTTGTTGTTGTTAAGTGCCGTGGAGTCAGTTCCAACTCATAGTGACCCTGCACAGGGTTTCCGATGCTGTAAATCTTTACGGGAGCAGAAAGCCTCATCTTTTTCCTGTGAAACATCTGGTAGTTTTGAACTGCTGAACTTGAGGCTAGGAGCCTGATTCATAACCACTACGCTACCAGAGCCACTGGATAGATCTGAACTAACAACCTTCCGCTTAGCAGCTGAGAATTTAATTGTTGCACTGCCTTAAAACAGGGCTTCTTAAAAAAGCCAACAGTTGATAGGAAAGAAACCTATCCCTCATTGGACAAGAGAACATCATTTAGAGTCTTTAAATTTTGTCTGTCTTCTTGGATCAACTATTAACACTCACGGAAGCAGCAGTCAAGAAATCAAACAACATATTGCATTAAGCAAATCTGCTGCACAAGACCTTTTTAAAGTGTTGAAGAGCAAAGATGTCAGCTTGAGGACTAAGGTGTGCCTGACCCAAGTCATGATATTTTCAGTAACCTCATATGCATGAGAAAGCTGGACAGTGAATAAGGAAGACCGTAGAAGAATTGATGCTTTTGAGTTATGGTGTTGGAGGAGAATATTGAAAGTACCATGGGATGCGAAAAGAACCAACAGATCGTGTTGGAAGAAGTGCAGCCAGAGTGCTCTTTGGAGGCCAAGATGGACAAAACTTCATCTCTCATACTTTGGACATATTGTCAAGTGTCACTGGAGAAGGATATCATGTTTGGTAAGGTAGAGGGTCAGAGAAAGAGAGGAAGACCACCAAAGAGACGGATTGGCCAAGTGGCAGCATCGATGGACTCAAGTGTGGCAACAATAGTGAGGTTGGCCCAGGATTGGGCAGTGTTTCGTTCTGCTGTGCATAAGGTCGCTATGGGTCGGTACTGACTCGATGGCACCTAACAACAACAACAACAACAAGTGTTTGGCATCTGATCAAAACTTATAAGGTATGCTGAAAAAAATAAAAAGGACCATTTGACTGGAAACCAAGAGAAAAACCAAACCATAGAAAGAGACTTGTAGCGATTCAGGTATTGGTGTAATCAAACAGAGAATTTTTAAATGGCTTTGACACAGTGCCAGCAACAATGGGCTCAAACATAACAAGTGTGAGGATGGCACAGGACTGGGCAGGGTTTCCTTCTGTGGTGCAGAGGGGTCGCTGTGAGTTGGAACTTACTCGCCAGTACCTAACAACAACCACATGATCAATATGTTCAAGAATATAGAGAAAAGGCGAAGAAATCATAGCAAAGATTTGGAGTCTGGTTCTTAATAGAATCAAAACAAAATATAAAACAATGATTGAAATGAAGAACTCAATAGCTATGCTTAATTATTGTTGTTGTTAAGTTCCAACCCATAGCGACCCTGTATAGGGTTTCCAAGGAGCAACTAATGAGCTTGAACCACTGACCCTGCAGTTCAAACAGACTTTGTAGTCCAGTGCATTAACCCACAGCATCACCCCAGGACTCCAATGTGCTTAATAGAAGATTAGAAATAATAAAACAAACGGACTAGAAAAGTAGAAGATGGGTCACTAGAAATAGCTGGATTGATGCATAGACATGGAGGATGAAGGGAGACTGCCCCAGGGGACTAGATGGGCCCACCTAAGAGATGTGAGATTCTGGAGAAAGGTGCCAGTTTAAGGAGAAGATGGAGATATTAGTTTGGGACAAGTAGATATTCAGTGTTTGAGAGACAGCCAGTGGGCATCCCGTAGGTAGTTAGATGTCCAGGTCTGAAGCTCAGAGAGAATCAGGAGTGGAGAGAGATTTGTGAATGAGCAGCATGTTGGTGGAAATGAAGCCAATGTCAAAGGATAGCATCCTCAAGGGAGAAAGTATCTACTGTAAGAAATGAAAAGAGGCTAAGGCAGAACCCCAAGGTTCACTTGCATTTAGAAGAATGATGTACAAAGATTTCACAAAGGAGACCCATAAGTCATGTGAGTTTGCTATCTTGGCAGCATTGGTAGTTCTTGTTTTCATTCTCAAGGGAGTCCACAAGTGCAAAGTTTTTTCTTTGAAGGGAGAATTAAGTTTTGGATGGATATGATTCACCTAATTATGGCTCCTGGCATGCCAACTGAGAACCTTGGCTAAGGCAGCCTTCTTACTTCTCTAAGACTTGGCCCAAACTCAACTTGGATATCTGAGGTTAGGAAGGGAAGGGCATGCCAAGCATGGGGAATGGTGTGAGCCGAGGGGAAATGTTTCCAAAGAAAAGTAACTGATCTAGTGAGAGACAACCTTCTCAAAGGTCAGCAAAGTGAGGCATTGATCCCTGAAACAATTAAGCAGTGTGTTAGTTTGTTACTTATCTATTGCTGCCTGACAGATCATCCCAAGACTTAACAAGAAAATAAACACTTTTTGTTTCATAACATTTCTAAAAGTCAAGAATCTAGGAGATTTTGGTTAGGTGGATCTCTCATGAAGTTGCAATTAAGATGTCAGCCAAGATAGTTTCACTCACATGGCTGATTTGGCTCCCATGACTTGGGCAAAGACAGATGGACTTCCCCACAGAGCTGCTTGGGAGTCCCTACAACATGGAGGCTGGCTTCCCCCAGAGTACGAAATCTACAAGAGAAGCTGACAGAATGTGCAATACCTTATGATTTAGTCCCAGCTGTCATTACCTATTGGTTACCTATTCTTTATGGGAAAGAACAACATAAGGGTGTGCGTACCAGAAGGCAGGGGGCACTGGGGGCTTGCTACCACCAGGTTTTAAACATTTGTTTACTCATTCATTCATTCAGTTAGCAAATAGATATTGACTGTCTTCTCTGAGTTGGGATCTTTTCTCTTGCGTGGTCCTGGGACACAGTGGTAACTGAATTACAACCCTGGTACTCCCTTCAGAGGGCTCACAATCCAGAGGGAGAAACAGATCTGTTAGCAGACAGTGAAGACCCAGAGTGAGCAAAACTGGGATAGAAGAATCCAAGGGGCTGTGGGAACCCAGAGGAGATGCCTGATCCAGCCTGGGAGGTCCGGGAGGTCTGGGAGGGCTTTGTGGAGGAGATGGAGTTAAAGAGGACACCTTAAAGAAGGAGCAGAAGTTAGGAAAAGATGTTCTAAGAAAAGGCAACAACGTACACAAAAGTCTGGATATGAGTTAGCACGTGGGAAGTCAAGGGTGACGTAAAGTTGACCACTAACCTAAAGGTTGTTGGTTTGAACCCTCCCGATAGCACCATGAAAGAAAGTTCTAGCAATCTGCTTCCAGAAAGATTACAGCCAAGAAAACCCTGCGGAGAATTACTACTCTGTAACCTATAGGGTCACCATGCATCAGCATCAACTTGGTTTGGGGTGGGAAGTCAATGTGGAGTGGAGAGTCTGAAGCCACAACAATGAGAGATGAGGACAGGTGGCCAGGACTTGAATTCCACACTGAGGAGTTTAGAGTTTCTTCTGAGGGCAGTGGGGAGCCATGAAAGGGTTTGGAACAGAGGAAAGACAAGGTCAGATCTCAGTGTTAAAAATACCTTTTATGGCCGTGTAGGGAAATACCAAGGAACAGGGGCAAAACTGGAAACCAAGAGGAGGTCTGAGTTAGATGTGGCCATGGGACTAGAAAAGAAGAGATGGGATCCCAGAAAAATCAAGGAGGCAGAATGGGCTTGATGATTGGCCGAGGGTGAGATAAGGAGGCTGTGATTTTGAGATGAGTCTTCAAGGGAGCTGGATCGCCAGAAATCTCACCCTCCTGCTTCTGTCCAATCAGGGCCGCCTTCTACCTTCCCCCGAAGCCGTTATCTCGAATGTGCCTCCTGTGCCTCATCAGACATGAGCTGTGAGAGGGGCCGGGACCAGAGCCTGCAATGCCGAAACCCAGAAGAACAGTGCCTAGAGGTGGTGACTCACCGGTACCTGGAAGGTGAGCCCCAACTGCCAGCAACTCCTCACCCCTCACCCCTACTTTGCTCCTTCCCAAGGCTGCACTTAGCAACCCTCCAAATAACAGTGATTTAAACAAGGTAGAAAGTTAGTTCTCCCATCCACAAGAATCCATAAGTAAGAAATCCAGAGCTGCTCGGATAGTTTCACAGTCACTAGGAACCCAAATGTCTTCCATTTTTAAGATTGCCTCATGGTCTGAGATGGCTGCTGGAGCTCCAGACCTCATGTTCAAGTTCCAAGAAGAAGGAAAGGGAAACGAAGGGGTCAAAAGCACACAGCTTTTAAATAAGAAGAATCCCTTCTAGAAATTCCATAAAAGCACTTCTGCTTACATCACAATGGGCAGAATTTAGGATATGAACTGGACTGCTAACCTCAACATTGACAGTTCAAACCACCGAGCTGCTCTGAGAGAGTGAATTAATAAGGCTATCTTCTTCCAAAAAGATTTACCACCTCAAAAACCCCCCTACAGGGTAACTAAGAGTTTGCTTGTTTTGTTTAGATGTATGATTTCCCCAAATGAATGATTACTGGGATGACAAATCCAATCTTAGAGCCTCACATTTGACCTCTCTCCTCTGCCCAATCCAGAGAATTCAGGGGAGGAGCCTCACATCCGAGGCTGTGGTTACCTCCCGGGCTGCCCAGGCCCGGCTGGTTTCCACAACAACTATACCTTCCACTTCCTGCGCTGCTGCAACACCACCAAATGCAATGGGGGCCCAGGTAAGGAGCTGGGGGCCCAATATGAGGCCTGGGAGGGGAGCAAGGCGGTAGATGGTCACACAAACACTGACAGACAGAACACGGCTCTGTTTTCTCCTGAGAAACAAGCCTATCCAGTCTTTCCTCAAAGAGGGATTTTGTAGGAATTCAATACATTAAGCAATGGACTACGAACCACAAAGTCGGTGGTTCGAGCCTACCTGTTACGCCACAGGAGAAAGATGAGGCTTTCTGCTCCTGCAAAGATTTAAAATCTCAGAAACCCTATATAGGATCACTATGAGTCAGAATCGATTCCACAGCACTTAACAGAAATAATCATTGGTCCCTTTGTTGTTGTTAAGTGCCGTCGAGTCGGTTCCGACCCATAGCGACCCTGTACAGAGTTTCGAAGGGTGTAAATCTTTACGGGAGTAGAAAGCCTCATCGTTCTCGCGCGGAGCCGCTGGTAGTTTCGAACCGCTGACCTTAAGGTTCGCATCCCAATTCGTAACCACTACGCTACCAGAGCTCCTTAAGGACCCCTAATAGTGTAGTGTGTTATGAGCTTGCCTGCTAACTACAAGGTTAACAGTTGAGATCTACCTGCCGCTCCATGGAAGGTAGATGAGGCTTTCTCCTCCTGCTAAGATTTACAGCTTCCGAAACCCAACACAGGATCGCTAGGAGTCGGAACTGACTCGATAGCACAGAACCACCCCCACCACCATCAACCCTTGGGAGTCCCCTAGTGGCTCAAACAATGAAGCACTCAGTAGTTAACAGAAAGTTTCATGGTTTAAATCCACCCAGAGATACCTCAGAAGAAAGATTTGTGATCGACTCCCCCAAAATCAATTATTTAAAAGCCTATGGAACACAGTTCTACTCTGATGCACATGGGGACCATCAAGTACGAATTGATTCAGTGGCTACTGGGTTTGTGTGTGTGTGTGTGTTTTGTTTATCAACTCTTTGCTTTGGAATCCTGGTGTGACACTGTAGAATAAGCTATGGGCTGCTGACTTCAAGGTCAGTGGTTCAAACCCACAAGCCACTCCTCGGAAACCCTGTACAGGGTTGTTATGAGTTGAAACCATCCTTATGACACTTAACAACTACAATGCTTTTTGCCTGTTAGATCTGAGTCCTCTGCTGCTCCCTACCTCCACTGCCAGGTCCCTGGTCCACATCACCATCACTTCTCCCCCGGGTTGTTGCAATTCCTGCCTAAGGTTTCACAAATGACAGCAGCAAGGCAGATTTTTTAAACGATAGATAAATCAGATCATGCCATTCCTCTGCCATAAGCACTTAAATGACTTGCTATTTTCTATAAAACCCAAAAAGACTTCCTATGAACTATGTCAATGGCACCTGCCTGCCTCACGATCTTCATGCAGTTTCTGCAACCGTCAAACTCTCTCCTGCCTCATGGCCTTTGCACATACACTATCCTTCTCCTGGAATACCTCTCCTGGCAGAACTTCTCCTGGCTGACTGCTATTTCTTATCCAGTAGGTCTCAGCTTTAATGGATTGATCATCCTCAGGGAACACTTCCCTCTGCCCCCTCTCCAGTATAATCTGGAGCTCTTAAGTGGCGCTGTGGTTCAGCACCATACCGCTAACCAAAAGGTTGGGTTGGTGGTACAAACTCACCAGCCACTCCTTCAAAACCCTCTAAAGGGTTGCTATGAGTCAGAACTGATTTGAAGGCACTTAATAACGACAACAAAAATGCTATTCTGTCTCTCTAAACCAACATTGTCTGATGGAACATTCTATAGTGATACAGATTGTCTGTATCTCTGATGTCCAATATGGTAGCTCCTAGCCATATGAGTCCTGGGTGGCGCTATAGGTTAATGCGCTGGACTGAAAAGTCAATTTGAACCATAAGGTAGGTGGTTCAAGCTCACCAGCTGCTCCTAGGAAACCCTATACAGGGTTGCTATGGGTCATAACTGACTCGATGGCACTAAACAACAAGAAATCTTTGTAGGAGCAGAAAGTCTCATCTCTTTCTCACAGGGCACCTGGTGGGCTCAAATCGGTTCATAGTGCAGTCCTTACCCTACAGAGCTACCAGTCTCCCGCAAGTCCTAGTTGTTGTTGTTAAATGCCATTGAGTCAGTTCTGACTCATAGCGACCCTGTATAGGATTTCCAAACAGCAGCAGTAAGTTTGAACCACTGACCTTGAGGTTAGCAGTCCCGTTCTTTTTCTACAAGTCCTAGACAACTTCCCCAAAGAAATTGCCGTTCCAATGTCTGACCACTAGGTGGCTCTATGTCAGCTCAGGCTCAGAATTGGGAGTCCTGGAGAGTACTTGCATCACTTTGAGAGAATCAACAGGAAGGAGAGGGTCCCCCATGCTAATTTCTGGTCTCTGTATCTCTTGCCTTCTCCTAAGTTACAGAACTTCAGAACTTGCCACTGAATGACTTCCAGTGTTATAGCTGTGAGGGAAACAGCACCCACGGATGTTCCTCAGAAGAAACTACCCTCATCACCTGCCGAGGCCCCATGACGCAGTGTCTGGAAGCCACAGGCTCCAATGGTAATGCCATTTGGTGGCTTGGAGGAGATACTTATGGAATGCGGGCAGGGGGCGTGCGGTATGCTAGAAGTTGACTTTCAGTTAAACTGGGCTTCACTGAGGTGCATCTTCCTATGGAAAAGATAGAGCTTCCCTCAGGAGGGTGGAAATTGTTGAAAGGAATTGGGGTTTGTCCGTTAGGAAATGGACATTCCACTAAGGTTATGTGGACTCCTTGGGGGTGGGCTGTAAGATTTCCTGTAGGTGGGTGGAACTTCCTGTGGACATCATAGGCCTTCATTCTGTTAAGTCCTGGAAGTGTTTTCCTCCTCCAGGGGTTCCCAGACTTTTGAGTCTCAAGATTGCTTTACACTCTTAAAAACCATTGTGCGTGGGGATGTTATCTATCTAACAATATTAGAAATGAAAGCCAAGACCAGGTTAAAATATTTATTTGTTTAAAATAACAATAACAAACCCAGTATATGTTAACATACTTTTTAAAAAAAAATGAAGCAAAAACCTATATATTTTCTGAAACAAAAATATTTCATAAGAAGAGCAGCATTTATTTTTACCATTTTTCACATCTCTTTAACATCTGGCTTAATAGAAGTCAGCTGGCTCCTCCTATCTGCTTCTGTGTTCAGTCTCTTACAATATTACATGTTCTGTACTTTCTGGAAAACTCCATTTGTGAGGGAATGAGAGTGGGAAAGGCACATAATGTCTTGGCATTGTTATGGTTTATGACATTGAAAACTGCTTTCTTCAGGGACAGTGGAAAAGGGGCCCACCACACAATGGTATATAATCCAGTGAGAATTCCAGGTCTAAGAACTGGAAATCTCTGAGAGATTCCAGAGACTCCCTGAAGGCCAAGAAAGACCAAGTCTCTCACACAGTCTTCTCTTTCTTCAGAGCTGGGGGCCCCAAGCTACACAGTAAGAGGCTGTGCCACCCACTCCTGGTGCCAAGGTCTCCATATGGCGGAATCCTTCAGAATGACCCATCTCAATGTCTCATGCTGTTCGGGAAACGGCTGTAACCACCCAGCCCGCGACACCCAGCCCCGCAAGGGGAGAGCCTCCCAGCCTGGCCCAACCCACCTCAGCCTCACCATTACCCTGCTTATGAGCGCAAGACTGTGGGGAGGCACTCTTCTGTGGACTTGAACCTAGAAACATCCCTGCCCTGGCTGGATCCAGTGGACCCCTTTGCCTTTTCCTCAGCTCCCAGCCGTGCCTTTCTGTGTGACCTCAGGCCAGTGTACTGCCCTCTCTGGGTCTCAGTTTTCCCAGCTGTCAAAATGCCTACCTCAAAGAGTTGTCATGAGAACCAGAGGAGAAAAGCTGGAGAAAGGTTTCAGGCCAGCAGGAGGACCCATGTTATTATTAAAATTGTCATCGCTATTGTTATTAATATTTTTATTATTTAATATGAGGCTTTCTACTCCCGTAAAGATTTACACCCTCGGAAACCCTGTACAGGGTCGCTATGGGTCGGACCCGACTCGATGGCACTTAACAACAACAACAACAATATTTTATACTTAATAAACAGAGACTTTTGTACCAGTGAATAAGGCCCAGATCTGCTCTTTTCCATAGCATTTATCTTTGGGAAGATGAATTGGGGGTTGGGAGGGAAGATCTTTCCACAGACTCCTGGGGGCAAACAGTTAAGCATTTATTTACTAACCAAAAGGTTGTGGGTTCAAGTCCAACCAGAGGCACCTTGGAAGAAAGTACCTTGCAAGCAACTGAAAACCAGCCATTAAAAACCTTAGAAAGCACAGTTCAACTCTAATACATGTCAAATTCAAGTTGTCGGCAACTGATCTTTGTTATTGCTCTTTTTTAAGGACCCAGGCATTTGAGACCCCAGAAGCGGTTCCACCAGGCGTTCCATCCTAAGACACCTTCATATCTATTTCTGAGCCCCAAACGCAATCGTCCATTTCACCCACTAACCTTCCAGTCCCTTCGCCCACACTCCAAAAGTCAAGACTACTTTGTTCTAAGGAAGTGTGTCTGCATGTCCCATGGGCTCTGGGAGAGGTGGGAGCGAACCATCAGGAGGTTCCCTCCATGCATTGCTGTGGGGAATAAGAACAGGACTACATTTCCCATGATGCTCTAGGGGCAGTGGGATAAAGGCTGGGTAGCACTTTAGGAAAAGCACTGAACTGCTAACTGAAAGGTTGGTGGTTCAAGCCCACCAGCCGCTCCCTGGAAACCCTATACAGGGTCGCTGTGAGTCAGAGCTGACTCGACAGCACTTAACAACAACATATGTCCCAGGATGCCCTAGGGCTGATGGAGAAAAAGACAGAACTACAATTTCAGTGGAGTCCTGGTGTGATGCTTATGCAATGAACAGCTAACCCTAAAGTCAGCGGTTCAAACCCACTAGCTGCTCCTTGGAAACCCTATACCAGATTGCTATAAGTCGAAACTGACTCAACGGGTACTTAATAACAATTTCAGTGGTACTCTTGGAGCACAATATGGATGGAATTCATGTTCCCTGAGGAGTGTGGGGCTTCACAGACTAAACACTGGACTGCAAACCACAAGGTCAGCAGTCTGAGCCCATCACTGCTCTGTGGGAGAAAGATGAGGCTTTGTGCTCCCTCAAAGAGTTAAAGTCTTGGAAACCCTACACAGGGTCACTATGAGTGACGGCACTTAACAACAATGACAGATCAGATGGCACTACAGGATAAGCACTGGACTGCTAACCACAAGGTTGGCAGTTCAAACCTACCAGTCAGTCCTCGAGAGAAAGATGTAGCTTTTTACTCTTGTAAAGATCCAGGTGTGGGGCTGTAGGCTAAGCACTGAACCTCCAGGTCGGTTTGAACTGCAAGGTTGGTGGTTCAAATCCACCAGCCACTCCTCTGAAACCCTATACAACAGCGATGGGGAACATCTGGTCTGCTGTATGATGCTGTGGGTTAATACTCTGGACTGCAGAGTCACTTTGAACTGCAAGGTCGGCAGTTCAAGCTCACCAGCTACTCCTCGTGAACCCTATACAGGGTCGCTATGAGTCGGAACTGACTGGATGGCACTAAAGAACAACTAAGATGTATAACCTCAGAAACTCTGTACAGGGTCGCTATGCATCAGAAATCAATCCATGCAGTGGGTTAGGTTTGAGTTTGGAATGCCTAATGAAGGAACCTTTGTGAGCCAGTAAAGAATGAAAACTGGGCTCCTAACCTCAAGGTCAGCAGTTCAAAACCACAAGCTGCTCCTCGAAAAATCTATACAGGGTTGCTATGAGTCAGAACCAATGCGATGGCACTCAACAACAAAACAGTGAGGGAGTCCTGATGGCATTGTGGGTTAGGCATTGGGCTGCTAACCAAAGTTCAGCTGTTCAAACCCACCAACCACTCTTGGGGAGAAAGATGAAGCTATCAGCTCTAATAAGGATTTACAGTCTCGGAAACCCTACACAGGGTCGCTATGCATCAAAGAAGCGAAAACAACTGGAAGAAATGGTGAAGTAAAAGAGCTAAGCAGAAAAGAAGTTTTCAAAGGGCAACTCTAAGAGACAAAGTAGTATAATGAAATATGCAAAGACCTAGAGTGAGAAAACCAAAGGAGAAGAGTGCACTCAGCATCTCTCAAGCTGAAAGAACTGAAGAACAAATTCGAGCGTCAACTTTCCATACTGAAAGATCCTATGAATAAAATATTGAATGATACAGAACGCATCAAAAGAAGATGGAAGAAATACACAAAGTCACTGTGCCAACAAGAAATGAATGATGGTCAACCATTTCCAGAGGAAGCACATGATCAAGAACTGATGGGATTGAAAGAAGAAACCCAAGCTGAACAGAAGGCACTGGGGGAAAACACGGCTCCAGGAATTGGAATACAAACTGAAATGTTTTAGCAAACTGATGCAGTACTGGAGGCACTCACTCGTCTATGTCAAGATAGTTGAAAACAGCTACTTGGTCAACAGATTGGAAGAGATCCATATTTATGCCCATTCCAAAGAAAAGTGACCCAAGAGAATGCAGAAATCACCTAACAATATCATTATCAGTATCACATGCAAGTAAAATCTTGCTAAAGATCATTTAAAAATGGTTGCAATTAACACATTGACAGAGAGCTGACAGAACTCAAGCTGGACTCAAAAGAGGACATGGATATTCATTGCTGATGTCTGATGGATCATGGCTGAAAGCAGAGAATACCAGAAAGATGTTTACTTGTACTTTATCAATTATACAAGGGCATTTGACTGTGTGGATCATAACCAACTATGGATACCATTGCAAAGAACGGATATTCCAGGACATTTCACTGTGCTCATGAGGTATCTGTACATAGACCATGAGGCTGTTAAAATCAGCAAAGGTGTGCATCACGGTTGTATCCTTTCACCATATTTATTCAACCTGTATATTGAGGAAATAATCTGAGAAACCGGATTATATGAAGTAGAACATGGCGTCAGGATTGAAGGAAGACTCATTAACAACCTACAATACGCAGATGATACAACTTTGTTTGCTGGAAGGAAAGAGGACTTGAAGCCCTTTTTGATGAAGATCAAAGATGAATTGCACCTCAATGTAAAGAAAACAGAAACCCTCACAACGGGGCCAATAAATAACATCATAATAAACGGAAAAAAAAGTTGAAGTTGTCAAAGACTTCATTTTGCTTCATCAATACTCACAGAAGCAGCCACCAAGAAAATAAAGGTTGAAATGTATTAGGAAAATCTGCTGCAAAAGACCTTTTTAAAGTATGAAAGAGCAAAGATCTCATTTTGGGAACAAAGGTGCCCTTAACTCAAGCCAGGGTACTTTCAATTGCTGAATATGTATGTGAAAGTTGGACAATGAGTAAGGAAGATCAGAGAACAATTGATGCGTTTGAATTATGGTGTTGGTGAAGAATATTGAAAGTACCACAGACTGCCAGAAGAACAGATAAATCGGGTTAAGTACAGTTAGAAGCCTGCTCATTAGAAGTGAGGATAATGGAGTTTTCATCTCATTACTTTGGCCAACGCTGTCAAGAATCAGTTCCTGGAACAGGACATCATGCTTGGTCAAGTGGAGGGTCAGAGGAAAAGAGGGAGAACCTCATTGGGACGGATTGACACAGTGGCAGGAACAATGGGTTCAAATAGAACAAGTATGAGGATGATGTTTTTTGCGCAGCTGTGCATTGGGTTGCCATGAGTGTGGCAGTGGGTTTAGGGTGTGGCACTGTAGGATAAGCACTGGACCCCAAGATCAGTTTGATTTCACAAGGTCAGCAGTACAAACTCACCAGCAGCTCCTCAGAAACCCTATACAGGGTCGTTATAAGTCAGAACCGACTTAGCAACAACAGTGATGTCTAATGCGGAGCTCTGGTGGTGCCATGGGTTAAGTGCTTGACTGTTAACTGCAAGATCGGTGATTTGAATCCACCAACTGCTCTGTAGGAGAAAGATGAGACAGTTTGTTTCTGTAAAGATTTTCAGACTCTGAAACCTTATGGAGCAGTTCTACTCTCTGCCCTATAGGGTCTCTGAGTCAGAATCAACTCAACTGCAGTAGGTTTTTAATGTCTAATTATGCTAAACATCTTTTCATGTGCTTTTTGGTCATTTGGGGCCCAGGCTTGAAACCAAAATCCAGTTGTCCTTGAGTAGATTCCAACTCACGGCAGCCTCGAAGCATGCTCCATGGTTTTCACGGCTGTGACCTTTCAGAAACAGACCGCCAAACCTTTATTCGGAGGTATGTCTGAGGGGTTCAAAATGCCAACCTTTCTGTTAATAACTAGGTGCTTAACAGTTTGTCTCACCCAGGATCACTGTCCTCTCCCACTTCTTGAGTCTTGGATGCTGACTCTGCAGTAGGCAGCTGCCATGGAAAATTCCTGCTCTGAAACTACCATGCTGTGAGGAGACTAGTCATGCATTCCTGCTGTCAAGAGCCGGTCAGTCGGTTCCGACTCATAGCGCCCCTGTGTAGGGTTTTCAATGAGCGACTGGCGGATTTGAAATACCGACCTCAAAGTTAGCAACCCAGTGCTTATCCTCCAACGCCACACCAGGACAGACACCCTATAAAAAGAAAGGCTTAGCTGTTCCATTCGCCTCAGCCCAGGCACCAGACAACAGAGCGGTAGTGCTTCCTTGAACA